GCAGACTCTGTTTTTGTGCTCACTCTGTTCCTTGGCCTCCTCCTGCTCCTCTCCTTTCTCCACCTGTGGCTGTCTGATAGTTTGTACCGCTGTTGCATTACATTCAACACTCTTAACGAAGAAGTAAAAGTGAGAGCTGTTTGAGGGGGGGTCAGGGAGGGCGTGCTTCATTCATTGTAGGGGTCGAAACAAGCGCAACACAGCAGATGGCACAGTTATCATTCAGGATGTTTTCTCCTTCACTTCTTTTTGAAATAAAAGCCTGTTTTCTGCTGAGAAACTCCCTTTGTTTTCACACCATGCTTTTATTTTGAAGTTGTTTCCATGACATTCGTTTACTAACTAGTAAAGCTCTTCATCAAAGCTTATGATGAACTTCTGTAGGAAAGAAGTTGTTATGAATTACATTGGTTAGCTATCCTGGAAGATGTAAAGTTCATTTCTCCTCTGGTCTTTGTTTGTATAGTCTGTCCCTGAACAAAGTCGCGTAATGATAATAAATAATAAAGTCGCGTTATGTCGCGTAAAAGTGGAGAGATTAAAAATAAATAAACATTGCAGCTGTAGCGGGGATTCTGATACTTTTAAAGATATTAAATAGCGTATTGCTTAAATTGTCTGAAATTAAATCCTTCTTGCAGGAGAGTTTATAGACTTGTATTAATGTAAAGGCACTATAATGCACTGTTTTATCTTAGCCTCAGTGAATGACCCGGTGCTCGGCACCAAGTAAACAACGCTACACCCCTCCCTCCTCTGCCTGCCTCGAACCATTCAAAAGTGGTTCGTTTCGTTCACCATGTTGTTCACAGACTGACTAATACATTTTGTCCACTGACTGATACATGTTGTTCACAAACTGATACATTTCGTTCATTTGCTGTGAGCAAATCACAGGACTCCGCCCACCTGCTCACTTGCTGGCTGGCTGGCTGTGTGTCGTTCGCCAAAGAGTCACAGGTGGCAGTTCCACTCCCGACCGGCATGCCAGGGTCACGGCCAAGCTCAATTGAACTGAAAAAGGAACAAATCAGGTCTCGGAGTGATTCCATTCACGTCGTTCATTCAGCAGTTCCATTCTTTTGAACGAAACGTTCATGAACGACACAACACTACTGAACACAGACTCAGGCCAGTTTTAGTCATCAACCGTGAATCCTGTTAAGAATCAGTCTGTCTGTCTCTGCTGTTTGAGCAGAGATGATCCGAAAGCTAAACGTTGGAATACTTTGTTAGGTTGAAGGTCTTTTCCAGGGTAAATCTTCCTCTCAGTGCGCTCTGAGGTTTAGATGTGATCTGACTCATACATGTTTCTGCTTTGATACAGACCACAGAGTGGATTGTGAAAGCCAGAGCACTCAGCAGCTAGCCGACCAATCGTTGAGTAATTGGTATTGATCAACAGTCCTATCAGCCCCCTGCAGATATATTATCCAGTCATTGTGTGCACTGGGACGGTAAACATGGGAATTATTTCGTCTCGCAGGGTCACAGCAGCCTGCAGGGAGAGGTTTCCAATGATGCCGCTGAGGATGGAGGGATGAATGAAGGGATAGAAAGGCTGCTGGAGGGGTTCTGTTCTGCTGAGTCCTCGAGGGTGCAGGCATAAAAGCTCTCTACATCAAGCCCATTACAGAAGAAGAGAAGAAGAAAGAGGAGAGAAAAGACATGAAGAGATGGAAAATGACATGTGGCCCTTTTATTTCTCCAAGAGCCAAGCTGCCATCTCTCACAAATCTCTCTCTTTTTTTTCTGGATATGAGCTGTCTTCCATTCTCCCTCTCTTTTCCTCCATCAGTATATCCATCCAGCTGTGTTTGTGGATTCTCATCACGCTGCTTGAGATGTCATGCAGCAGAGATTAGACGCAGAAAAAGAGAGCGTACATGTAAGAGGTAATCTTGATATGTTACTCTGGATTCTGGCTGGAATTTAAACTCGTATAGAAATTACTGAAGATAGTCAGGTCTACAAGTCCTCTTACATCCACACAAAACAGCATGGCATTATTACAGTCAGAACCACTCAGTTTGTTATTGGATTTTTGTCTCTTTGGAGCTGCAGATCCAAACAGTTGATCAGTGCGCTACAGGGAAGGAACACAACTGTGACACTTGCAAGGTGATCTGGATTTGCTCCTGTTGTGATATGGCAGCAGGAGTGGTTTGAACAGGCAGGCGTGCAAAACCAATCGCACACCAACTCCCTGTGTGTATTCACTTTCTCCTGCTCTATTATGGTTTTACTTCAGTGTTGCAGTTATAATGCCAAGGGTCAGAGCCAGACTTTAGGCTAGAGCCAGAACAAACACTCTGGCATGGGTTCTCCTGGAGAACTGGCCATGTTCGTTTTGGTGTTATTCTGCCTCTGCTTTTATACAAAACCTGTCTGCATCCTCTGCCCTCGTTCGGGTAGCCAATAAGCAAAGCTGATCCTTCGAGAACCTACTCAGCCTACTGAGATGACTACACTGTTTATGAGGTTAGGAACCAAGATATTGCATATCCTCTACACAGGCTGCATTTGTCCTTTTTTTTTTTGTTCTAACTGGATTCAAAACCCAGCTCAAAAGGAAACCATGTTAGTACAACCGTTGACAGCTAAAAGTACAATTTCATCAGGCCTTTAAAGTGATCTAAATGATGTGTTAGAGCACAAGAGAAACTATCAACCTCCACAGGAACAGTCCTCTCTGATTGTCCAGATGTTATTCCTACAAAGGGGCAGAAGTGAACAGTACCCCCCATGGGCAATACACTTACTATTCACAAGTACCTCATATTGCCACACTTAAAAAATAACAAACTATCCCTTTAAATTAAAACCATAAATGCTGTAGACTCATGGAGATTAATCGGTATGAACGGTTCCCAATAAAAATGGTGCAGCTCTTGAGCAACTTAAGGACAATACTGTGTTTGAGTTTAATGTTTTCTTCTATAGAAGCTTAATAGCTTCCAATCAAAATACTCTCATTGTTTTATCATGTTCATGTCAACAGGTTAAGATACTAAAAGCTGCAGCTGCAGTCACCACTGCAAGTTCTCCACCAGTCATCCACATTGCTGGCAGGTGGTGTGATGGCACCCTTCAAACAGCTTGGCTTTGCCTGATGGTTTGTCGGGCTGTAACTAACTGACCTCTCGGGGTGCCATTTGATTTTAAAAGCTAATAACTCTGAAGTATTAGTCTCTGGTTGACTTTGCTAAGTTAAATCCAGAACTGATTCATAACCCTAACAATGACCCCAAATCACCAAATACATGTAGAAGCGCCTCCTGAGGCAGGGACAGCACGCCTGACCTTTATATGCAAACAGAGTAGCACCAAAGACCATTTAGGTACAAAACAAAGCAGACATCAGTGATGATCCATATGACTAGTAAGATCAGACACAGCATGATAAGGAGAAGCTGGCGTGGTTTGCAGTATAAATCAAAAATACCTACATCAGCGTGGACTTGGCCTTAGTGTAGTGAGTTTGCATGTGAAATAAGCCAGTGGCAACTAGTCTTTTGGGATGGTGCCGTGCAAGTGATGTGGAATCACTGAAAGGTCACCTTCAAATAAGTCAAATGAAATAGATGTGTTGAAAACCAGCTAATGCCGATAAAATGTTGCTGTCATGTATGTGGAGACACTGACTTATAGACAAACTTGCTCTGGTTTCTTGATGTATTTATCAGGCAGTTCATTGTATATCTTCATGTTGGTGGCTTTGTGTGAATCTGAAACAGTTCTGGTATCACTTGTTCAGTCGATAGAAGTTCGTGGGTTTGCTAAAAGCTCAGACAGTTTGTTCTGCAGTTGAATAAATGTGTGTTATGGCCTAGTTTAAATCTGCTCCTCTCCACAGGACCTGCTCACTGCTGTCACCCCGTGAATCCTGCAGCAGCTCTTGCATCTTCTCCTCCCTCATGTGGCGTTGAGCTCCCTCTCTTCAGCTTCAAGTCGCTCTTTCCTCTTTGGTCACAGTATCCTGAGGGAAAGGCCCACTTGCAGAAATATGCTAATGAATATATTATTGTGCCACATTTGTGTTTTTCCATATTCATCCTTTTTATTTTTATTCTTTTAATGTGCAAATGAATGCAACTCTACACAAAGCTGGCTCACCTACAGAACATCCATCAGCGGCTGTGAGGCCTCTGCCGATGCTGGCTGTCACACCTGAAACTGATGCTAAAGACGACAAATAGTCACTTTTATCACCTGCAATCAGCTCTGTGTATGGTAATATAGTCCCCTTTAATGCTGGTACATTATTAACTGATAATATTGTAACACAGGCTGCAGAATGTTGGTGTTTTTAAAGGCTTTTTTACTGCAATTTCCTCATGTACAAATATAGAAAACTGATTATTAGAAACACAGTTATAGGTTTGATAAATCAATGGATCATGTTTGGCCCTTATTTACAGACCAAATGGAAGTGGGTCACATACTGTTCTGGTCGCAACACAACTTGCCGTCCATCACACCTCAATGTACGTATAAGTGTGTAAAAGTGTGTGTTTTCAATAAACCAGTTACAGTACACTGGTGCCCGCATTTCACACCCATGTGCCAACCTGTTACCCGTCTGCCGCGACACGCCTGCCACTCAGCTGCATTGTTTTAGCCATATTTCCACCAATTCCTTCCACAAAGGACACACAAACACACACTCTCACAGCCTCCTACACATTTGTCAACACATTAAGCATGTGCCACTGGAGGTCTTTGTTCCACGTGCAGACACGGGCTCAGGACAACACGGCCCTTTTGTTCTCTGTCGCTGCTGCAGAGCCACGTCAGCAGACAATGGAGGCATTGACAGTGAATCTGTCCTGACAGACGGGCTGCTGCAGGGGCTAAAGTTCAACGTGCATGGAACATGCAGCACCACAGCAGTTGTACTATTTAAATGCACTGAGGGCAAAAAAAAAAAATAATGCACCATAAACATTTCTCCCAACCCAGTTTTGAGTGAAGTTTTTGCAAATATTCACTTGTTTTGGATTTGATGCTGCAGCACGTTCCTCAAAAGTGGAGACAGGGTCAACAAAAGACTGAGAAAAATGAGGACTACTCCAAAAATAGGAGACCTGTCTACTAGTGGATCATTCCACAGGTGAGTGTCATGATCAGGTATAAAAGGAGCTTCCCTGAAAGGCTTAATTCTTCACAAGCAAGGATTGAGACAGGTTCACCTTTTTGTCAACAACTGCATGAACAGAAAGTCCAACAGTTGAAGAACAATGTTTGTGAATTTAGTGATTTGATCATCTACAGTCCATAAAATCGTCAAAGAAGAGAAATCTCTGCATGAAAGCAGCAAGGCCCAAAACCACCATTGCTCATGAACTTTGACCTCTCAGATGACACTATTTTAAAAACCTGCATAATTCTGTAGAGGATATTACCATATGGGCTCAGGAACAACTTTAGAAAACCATTGCCAGGTAACATAGTTTGTCTCTACATCGACAAGTTCAAACTTTATCATGTAAAGACGAAGACCGATATCAACAACAACCAGAAACAGCTCTAATTGGACCTGAGCTCATCTGAGATAGACTGACCCAAAGTAGAAAAGTCTGCTGAAGTTTTTGAAAATCATGGGTGTGGTTTCCTCCGAGCTACAGAGGACAAGGCCCATTCAGACTGTTATCAAGTCAAAGTTCAAATCCAGCATCTGTGATGGTCTGGGAGTATGTTAGTGCCCATTAATGCTGAATGGGACATACAGGTTTATTAGCAACATATGCTCCAGACCGGTCTCCTATTGAAAATGTTTTGCTCTGTAATAAGGACATAAAACCATAAGGACTGTTGAACAACTAAGGAGGTCCATCAAGCAAGAATATGAAAGAATTCACCTCCAAAGCTTCAACAGTTTGTGTCTTCAGTCCACAAAGACTTACTGAGTGTTGTTGAAAGGAAAAGTGATTGTTAGTCTGCTAATGTTTATAATGAAATTTAATCATGGAGGTTGGCGACACTGAACTCGCTCTTATATTTGACCAATCGTACATTCACATCTGGACCAATCACTGTGCACTGGAGTCAGTCAAAGTCCATCTTGTGCTGGTGGAGTAACTACTGTGGTTACATTAAACAGGGTTCTAAGAATTCCTGTGTTCCTGCAGCAAAATTAACAAGTTCCTTGAACTATAAAAAAGTTCCTGTTGTCTGAGAGTGCCTAGTGAGACTACATGGCCGAGCTCAGCGTGTGACTCCAGGACCCTCATTTGCTTTAGTACACCTATAGAGATCATCCTTTTTTCAAGGATGTCTGTTTCATGGCCCATCAATAACTTCTCAGAGAAGCTTTGAAAAGTATGTTTTGTTGTAATTTGCCTTTTTGGACATGTGGTTATCAAGTCCTCTAGTGGTCTGCATTTGGGTCCTCTTCCTTGTTTCATTAAACAAGTGACTTTGTTTAAAGTTTTGTAAAATTATTCATAAAGCTCCATTTGTTCTAATGTGGAAAACCACAGCACTCTGGCTCTCTTCTCTCTTTATTGGGAGATTGAGGTTCAGCCAGGCTTTTTCAGGTGAACATGGATTTCATTAGCACTATTGATGGAATATATATAATGCTTTAGTTGTTTGGTAAATGAAACCACTTGCAGAGCTTTCCACCTGAGTCTTTAACTAAAAGTTGTCTTTACCCAAAACCGCTATAACACATAAAAATTTCCACATGTACCCCAACATAGAAACCTGAATGCAAACATAATACATATAGGGTTGAAACTCTCTTTTCAGGGCTCGCCATTGGGCTCTATTGTTCATTTGAAAAGCTCTTGGAAATATTAGCTCTGGGTTTTCTTTTTTACTGCAAACTGTTACTTGTCTGTCTTTGTAAAGTTATATGAAATACAGAACAAAAGACGAGCAGATAAATCTATTTCAACATTAGTTTTAAAGAAAGTCTGACATATTTCAGGCTGATATCTGCTGGTCTCTGTCCTATCCTCCTTCCTCTCTCTGTCCTTGTCTCAGTCTGACCTCATCAGGACGTAAACGGCTGACTAATGTGTCCTTGAAGGTACCCGTCTCTTCTGTAGAGATCATATAATAATAATAACCATCTCTACAATCCGAGGTTATTATTTCTCTGAGCCTGAGGGCAGCTTTTCCAAGAACCCTCTCTGGGTATACATTAGCATTAAACCCACTAACAGCAGCCTCTGGCTTTCTATAAGACCAGGCTGTAAGCTGCAGGAGCCATAAATAATGGAGTCTCTCAGGCTGCTGTGTTTCTGCTGTTTTTTTATTATTGCTGAGCATTTGAGGAATTTACACTTAAACTGCCTTACAGTGAACAATGAGTGGAATGAATACCAAGTATGAATGTTCAAAAGCTGCTTATTGTGGTGGATAGATTAGATTTCATGCTCTTCATTCATCACAGGTTCAATGAACATCCAGAACATGATAAATCAGTGACAGTATTGTAACATTGACAGCATGCTGCATTATAACTAACCCTTACAAGTCATCTACAGAAATACTGCACCAGCGCCTGAATGTGTTCTTCCTTTTTTTATTTTTCTTATTATGAAATCAGTCCTCCAGAGATGTGAAGGACTATTCTTATATTTGAGGAAACCTGAACAACATTTGAGATGTTTTGCTGGTCAAACCTTCATTATCCCAAACCGTGAATGTAGGAGCGTGAGTTTTTGTTAGGTTTGCTTTTATTTTACAGAAAATGTTTTGACAATTGCTTGTGAAAAATCTGTCTTTTGTACTTTAACTGTTACATCAGTTTGTGGTGCACTCACATGGGGTTGTGTTTACAAAAGTGTCCAAAAGAAGAAACCATATGATTGCTGTGACGGAGCGCCTGCACCTGTTTCCCGTGGTCCTGCATGCCAGCATTTTTACCTGAACGCTTTTCTTCCCATTGTAGGTGTTTGAGGGTGCACACTCAACAACTACACACACACACACACACACACACACACACACACCATGGCATTCTTTCCAACTCCTCCCAGTTGTTGTTTGTCCCCTTCTCCAGTAAGATAAATATCTGCTCCTCACACTAGCAATATTTAGAACTGAAGAAGCTTCTTGGATAAGAGGAGAAATGTCTTCTCAATTCTACACAGTCTAGTTGCCTGTTTTAGGAGTCTTCAAGAATATCTTGGCCATAAGTTTCCACAAGTTACCGTAATATTTGTGGCAAACCTGAAAACAACACAATCAGACAAATTTAGGAAAGGGCAGACAATCAACTCAATGACCACTCCATCCTCCATTTCTTCTTCCATCAACTTCTATTTACGATTTATACTTTTATACTAAGAACTCACAATATTACGTATGCAGACTTTTTACAAAGTAACAATAATATAATTAACACATAGCACTACATCCTGCCAAACCACAGCCATTTATCCAAAACAAAGAACACCAACCAATGAAGGAGCCTGAGAAGAGGCAGTTGCTATAGAAACGTCTATTCAGGTGAACTGTTACTTATTTTTTTTTTATTCTGTTGTATAATCAATATTTAGAGTAAATTTGTTTAAGTTTGTGGTAGCTGAGTGTAATGTGTATAGGTGATTCAAGCTCAACTTTTTGGGTTCTTAGTTTACATATATACCTGTTTACTATGTATTCCACTCTTATTTTACTAAATCTTTGGAGATGAATGGAGTTTCAGGAGTAAGTTTGATTGGTAAAAACAGGCTCTACTGAGCTGCAGCAGAAAAAGAAATATGATGGATGTTTTTTAATGATAATAAAAATTGACTAATGAATAAAACATGAGCTTAAGCAAAAGGAAATAATCTCAGTCTGCTATTTGCATCTGATTTGAACATTTGACAGCATGTTTGACCTCTGTTTGTCTGATCAAATTAGCAGAGCTACAAAACGAGAACATCCACAGAACATAATCTTTATCTGCTACAGAATACTCCATCTAATATTCCGTGTCAAAATAACTCAGATAGTGAGAACAGTGCAGACAGGGTGAAGTCTGGCAACCAGAATGATGGTATTGCAATAGCCAAAATAACTCCAAACTGGTAAACCTGAACTGAAAACAAGAGCATTCATAACTCCACAATAAAGAACAGTTATTCTTTTCCTTTTTTTTAAGGCTGTTTTCAATCAAGTTTTAAAAACCTTGTGTTCACCGACATATGTGGTATATTGTGATTTGGAATAGTAACCCTGACTGGATCCTTTCCTTTGTCCTGCTAAAGACAGAAATGTTTCAAATGGATTGATTTCATTTGTAAAATTCAACTAAGGTCAGACGGCATGTGAGGATTTAACTGAGTTTTAAAACACTGAAAGACTCAGCGAGCTCCTCAAGAATCAAACCCACTCTGTCTTTGTGCTGTAGGTCTAAATGTTCATGTCTGCTGTATCAGATTGACCATGAGAGAGTGAATTTCAGATACCCTTTTTTCTTTTTTAATAAGAAAAGAGATAGAAACAGATAAGATGCTTTAAATCCGAAGCTGAACTCTGACAGAGCAGTTTCTTTTCTTGTCAGTTTGGATCAAAAAGATTCATTTTCCTGCTTATTTCAGCCTCAGACACGAGTTGTAATCTCTTATTCAGATAAGAAATTTGACTCAACTTTCTTTTCCTTATCCACAAAAAAATAACAAAACTACCCTGGAGGAGGAAATATTGTCAGACAAAAACAGCATGGTGTATTGTTTTGTTTTCCTTATATTTCATCCTCCTCAGATTTCAGACTTTCTGCAGAGTGTTTGTTTATTGTGACAGTCCTTATCTTCCACGAGCAGAGTTTCTTATCTTCACTTTTTCTGTTTCCATTTCAGACTTTTATTTCCTAATGTTAAAAAGAAGACGGACACAAACAGGCCCTTATCAATTCAGAGTTGGGTAGGAACAGGGATACAAGTAATAACAAGTATCACAAGTATTAATGCATTTCTAATAATGATAGTAATAGTAGTAATAAATAGATTTTATATAGCGCCTTTACAAAGTGAAATGATAAGCTAATTTCTCAGAAGCTTGGAGGTAGCATCACTTTAAATGCTGAGTTGGATGGTATCAGTGTCTTATGGATGGATTGCTGATGCTTTCCCTGCCTCCACCCAAACTTATTGTTTTTAAGCTGTGTCTAATTTTACCAGTCTTGAATGCTGCGCTGATGCTGCTCTGTTCAATATTCTGAGGGTCTTTGCTGCTGCTCTGCCTGCCTCCACTCCAGCTCTGTTTTTCTATGCTCTGTCTGATTTTGATAGTGTCATGTGGATGGCCACTGATGCTTGATCTGACCTGTACCTGGAAGTCTTCATTGCTGTTCCCCCTTCACTTTGCCTTTCCACATGAAATAAAGGTTAGGCGTGCTCCCTCTGCTTCAGGCTTTATTTACATACTGCATAAAAATAATGAATGTCCTCTGCTCAGACTGGTCCTGACCAGACTTATCTTATGCAGTACATATTTAGGGTTACATTTCAAACACCACATCATATAGTCTAACACAGCTGTTGTCTTAGGAACTTTGGTCATTGCCAAAATGTTAAAAACAAGCCTTTGCTGCTATGTTTGGTGCAGGGGCTGAGACGATGTTGTTGCTGCATTAAAGGGATATTCCAGTGTAAAATTAAGCTATGGTCAAACACACTGCAACAACAAGTTAGACACCCCCTTGAGACATGAATGTTGCCGAATGCTTGCCTCTTTAGTTCCACCAACTTCAGCAACGACCGCACAATAGCAATACACAGCGGTCTATGTCTCCATGCGCAAAGCTCAACCAAAAAGCCACTCTATAGCCCTGTATCTTTTGAGCTCTGCCTGGTTTCTTTAGCAAAGAGACTAAACACAACTTACCCACTCTCTTCCAGCAGCACTTGTTTTTGTGGAAGCCCTGATGAGTCATTCACTGAGTGCAGAAGAGTTTCGCAGTTCAAGGGAGAATATTTATGATCATTACTTCATGGAAATGCAATCAGACCGACACACTAAGGTAAAGGAACTACAGGGTCTGCAGTGCAAAATGATTATTATGATGATTATTACTTCAAGGAAATGATCTGCTGCACTCGGTGAGCAACTCATCAGGGTTCCCCAACGAACAAGCGGCTGCTGGAGGAGAGTGGGTGAGTTGTGTTTAGTCTCTTTGCCAAAGAAACCAGGCCAAGCTAAAAATATGTTTGATGGCTAGTACTGTGGCTGAGACCCTATATGTACTGTTGATGAAGTTCTGAGCATTATTTGTGGCTATAGAGTGGCTTTTTGGTTGAGGTTTGTGCGTGGAGATGTAGACAACTGTGTATTGCTATTGTGCGGTTGTCGCTGAAATTGGCGGAACAAGGGAAGCAAGCAGTCGGCAACAGTCGCATCTCAAGGGGGTGTCTAACCTGTTGTTACACTGTGTTTGACCATAACTTACACCAGAATATCTGTTCAAGTTTGTGTGCATTTATCTGCAACACTGCCATGTGTCGTGAATGAGTGTGTGACTAACAGCCAACACTAGGAGTTGACAATCTCTGGAGTTGGCCAGGCTAACAGCAATGAAGTGGATTTCCTGTAGTTAGGCAGACTACGTCCAAAGACACGGAAATGATAGGAGGAGTTACAGCAGGCAGAAGTGAGTTGATGGTTAAGTATTATATATTATTGTTTGAGTTTTTTTATTTTACATGAAAGCTGTGACAAAAACTCTTTCTGTAAGAGACCAGTGAGTTATATTTCAGCTCCACACATAGTCAGTGTCTCCTGTTTCCTCTGCTCGGAGCTCTGAGATGTTTTATCAGCCATTAAATTTTTTTTTTTTTTTTTTTACTGAGACTAAAAACAAAAGAAGCCGTCTCCCTGCCTGCCTCCTTTAATTCACACAGCTACAAACTGGAGGGGAGAGACAGAGTTAGTGTTGGAGAAATGGCTGTGGAGGAAGAAGGCGAACAAACAGGCGATAACAATGAGACAGAGAGCGACAGGGAGACGCTTCTGGGGGAGAAGAAACGAGGAAAACAAGAGGAGGAGGAGGAGGAGGGGGAGGAAGAATAGAAGAAAGAGAAAGAGAGTTAAGCCAGATTGAGAGTGTCTGCCTGGGGTGGTACTAGTCACCCTGAATTATAAATGGTCTCTCACTTTCTGAGCCAAAACACACAACCACAATATAATACCCATGATGCATTTCCACTGGCAGGCCACTCCGCTGTCCCCTGGGTTTGCCCTCGCCACTAATCTCTGTCCTCTGCCTCGCTTTCCTCCAGCCCTCTCTCCCTCCTTCTCTCCGTCTCTCCAGTCCCCGGAGTGGAGGATTTTTCAAACTTTGCCCTCCGTCGCTCTCTCCATCCTCCTCACTCTGGTCACTCAGCACTCGTTGTGTCACAGGGAGCTGAAATCTCCTCTCAAATAGCCTTTCCCTCTTTCCACCCCTCCCTCTATCTTCCCTCTCTGCATGGCGCTGTGAAAAGAAAATATTCCATCCTCTATCCCTGAACTCTGTCCATACTCAGCTGTCCCACTTTTTCTTTCGCACTTTGCTTTTCACATTTTGTTCTCGGCCACATTATGTTGCTGCTGCTTTCATCCTTCATATCTTTCTTACCAGCCTGGCAACTCTTTTTCTTGCTGTGGGACCTCCTGACCTTGCAGACCGTCCCCTGGACCGTCCCCTGTCTTGTCTTCAGTGTCAGAAACCTGAGCGTACACCAAACTCACCAGCTGCCTTCACCTGAAACCAGAAATACATGTCTGAGAGTGTGTTACTCATTCTTACTTCCTTGCAGATGAAGCTGGTTTGGGAAAAAAAAAGATGGCAAACATGAAATCTGGAGCACCTGAAAAACAGCATCACTGAGAATTATTATATCCTGTTTCTGTCATGCAAAATCTTAAGGCTGAGATCAGAGGAGTGAACCCTCCACCTGCATCCCCTCCTCTCTGGGAAAAGCAACCAGGCTGTAGTGCATCTACACTTTTTTGGCTACATGCAACCTCAAACAGAGTATCTTTAATGTCATTTATTACAACCTCAACCAGTGTCATACTCAAGTCTGTTTGGTTTCTGTTAACTCGCCTCTTTTGCATAAATAACCTGCTCCGCTTGTGTGTAATATTGACTCTACACGAGTGCCCAAACATTCAAATTTAAGTAAGAGAGGAGGAGTTTCCTGCATGTCATCTCAGAGGCTTCTCAAAGCTGATTGGTTGCTCTTATATGGATCAGTTTACTTTTGATAATAGGGATGTAAAAGTTGCATAAGGCAAAGTCACTAAAAGAAGCTAAGCCAAGTCCAAGTCAATTGTCCTTTACCTGGGGATTTTAAGAAGACTCCTGGACTCCAAACTGTTAAATGAAGTTGAACCGACTGTGTGGACCTTTTCAGTGTGTAGAAAACACATTTAAATTGTTTACACTCAATTCTTCTTCACTTGATTCTGTTGGCATGTTTGGAGGCTTCAAGCTCCAGTCTGTAGCATTGTGTCTTTGACAGACTCGGGGGAATGTAAATATATCATTTATACTTGTGATGAATTAGTGTTTAAATAGCTGAATATTAAAATAGTTCAGTTGTCTTAATGTAGAATAAAATGTTTATATCAACAAAAGAGAAAAAAATCCAAATACATCCAAAATTATTTTTTTTTAAGTGTAAAAGATGTTGATGAGTGGAAAATATGGCCTCATGAACATGAAAGTTTGCTATAAAAAAAAATAATAATAAAAAATGGCGCACTGTTTTTTTTTTTCCTTTTTTTTCCTGTAAAGTAAATAACACTATTTCTATCTCCGAAGTAATCACATTTAGAGTTTTACATAGAAAACAATTTTCATGTTCTTTCCAAAAAGTTTAATAAAACAAGAAATAAAAAATAAATGAAATATGGTTTCAGTCTCAACTTTCACAAAATATGTAGCATCTATCATCATCAACGAATACTCCTTTGTTGGAAACATATCATTTATGTACTTTTATGACTTTGTTCGTGATAAGCCAAGAAGAGAAAGAAGGTGAAGCAAGATGAAATATTTGACATTTTTGTTGATGAAACATGGAGTATCAGACTTTCATGTATCACAGGAGCTTCTTGTCGTCAAAGGCTACCGTAGCTTCACTGAGGGGAGGGGTGAGCAAGGGAGCTTCACTTTAGAAGGAGACTGCCAAATATCATTAAATATTCCCATTTATACTTACTGGAACTGTATATTATTAGATTTTTCCTCCAATCAGATTAGCAGTTCTTCTGCCCTTTTTGTTAACACTCTCCCTTTAATCATCTCTCACTGTAATTTCAGTGTTTTACAACTTTAAGCTGAAAGTTTAAACTGTGAACCAAATATAATAATTAGAGAAATATGTTTCAGTCTGGAAGTCTGTAAAGTTTATTTGATCAATGCAAAATAAAGAGGTGAGTTAAGGAATCACACTTTATTTATTTATTATTTTCTATAGATGACCAAGCGTTTTATTTATTTTTTAATTTCTGCAGCTCTCACAGTGGTTTGTGTTCCACTGCTCAGATATCCACTCTCAAAGGGAAACACATCGCATGCAATCATCCTCCTCTACCTGCAGCTCTTCCTGAACCAGGACAGAACCATGAAGAATGAAATCAGGGCAAAGGGGAAAACTCATAAACTTCTCCACACACACACATACACACACCTCCTCCTCCTCCTCTCGTTCATCATGTTGCGAGAGAGGAAAATCGAATCATGTGCACCCCGCGATCGACTGCCAATGAGCTTATGTCCGCCCTGAAATATTCACTCCTGACAAGACCTCATCTGTTTCCCATTTTCAGACTGTGGAAATATTTCTCTTCATGCTGCTCACTTATATACTAATGTGTTTCCATCACTGCTGCAGGCCCGCTCATGCAGCACACACAAACACACACACAATCACACACACACACTCACACTTGGCTTAATTCAATAGAAAGTCATCTGGTAAGAGCCAAGGTTCTGGCTGCTTTATCTCCGCGCTCTGATGTAAACTTATGTGTGTCGGTGCAGAAAGGAGGAGGAATCTGGCACGAGTTGTTTTCTGCTTTAACTGTGCGAGGAGCTTAATGCAGCAAACACATTAGAGATGGAACACCTCTTGTGTCATGAAATAATATTTGCATAATTATGTTAAAATGGAGCCTTGCTGTGTGGTGAAAAAGGGAGATTTTCAGACTCGTAGTTGTGCATACACACTCACACGGTTTGCTGAGCAGCTGTTAACACTACTTTGATTCAAACACACACACATTCATGCATGTGTGTGTGTTTTGTGTCCTGCTTCACATTTGTGCTCTGGGCTTTAAAAGGAGCGCCGTCTCAGGGCAGCCCAGCTCCACGCAACACGGCAGCGCTTCCTGTTTGATCTGTGTGTCTGAGATCAGTTTATCACAACATCTCCTCCCTCCCCCTGCAGGGCTGAGACGGCTCCAGAGCAGACTTCATGACTGGCAGGAATGTGTACGACTCTAACAGCTACAAACGCTGATATAGAAGGGGATCCATGTCTTCTGCAGCATATCAACCCTTTAGGAAAGTCCAGCATATCTCAACAACCCCTGGCTATGTCTGCGAGATAACAGATTTGACAGGATACCAAGCTGTTATTGCCGAGAAGAGTTTCAGCTCAGTTTTCTCCAAAACTACAGACTAAAACAAGACACAACAGGATTATTAGTGAGCAGATGTTTACAAACTCCTGAGTTTGGCCTCAGCTTTTGCATCAAACACATTTCTTGTTGAGTAAAGACTGTGTCATGCATATTAAAGGTGCATCATGTAGATTTTAGAGTCATTTTCCCATCAGTTATTCCGAAAACTTCTGCATTTTTCAGTCTAATTGACCCCTAAATTGAGCATCCGCTGATCTAATCTCCAGTCCGCTGTTTTATTGAAACATCTTCAGGCTGCCTACTCTTCTTTCTTCTTCCATCCTTCCTTCCTTGTTATGCTGTGTCTGATTTTAGCAGAGACATTTTGATTGACATTGATGCTAATTTGCTCTGTACCCCAGAGGTCTTTAGGTCTGCTCTCCTTGCCTCGGCTTTCCATGTGTGCTCATAAAACAGAGGGGTGGTGTGTTCTCCCAGTCTCAGACCACCAAATACAACTCACTACATGGACATGATCATGCTCTCTGACTCAAGTGGTCTTGACTGGAATATTGTTTTGACATGATTGGAAGACAGGTAAGGGGAAATAACAGAGGGATCTTGGAATATGTAGAGCAAACGTCTTCCTTATGATGAAGGCCAGCTGTCACTCACAACCACAGAAGCAGGGCGCAGAAACATGGAGAGACGCGGTCATCATCCAAATCAGTCAGCTCAGCCGGGCTGTCAGCTTCTCCAAGGTGGCATTCATTGTGCAAAGGAGTTCATGAATCACAACCAGCCTGTGATTTTGATCAAGAATCGCATCCAGCTTGCGATTAAGCTCACATATCGCTTGAATCTGAGTGTTGACAGGCCTCGGTTTCCCTCAATCATAACAGGAAGCTTCCTGATTGCTGAAAGTGCTGCCAACATCTTCCGAACTTTTTGATAGATCAGGAAGCTGCGAACTCCAAACGGCAGAGTGCCTGTTATCATAACTCCAATTATATAGACATCTTCAACATCCTCAATGGAAAGAATCAACAGGCTCTCCACTTCTTTCAGGAGTCCAACGTGGATCCAGCTGCAAATGTTCTGTCAGGGAAGATGGGTTCTCCTTTACCCGGTCTGCTTGTTGAGAAAATTTGGTCCATTGTGTTGAGAGACCAGCTGATCAAATCCATGATTTTAGGTTTTGGTGAGAAATGAGAGGCTGCGGTAGTTCAGACAGAGACAGCACAAGACAAAGAGCAGCAAGCAGGGCAGATAAGGGTAGGGAGGGAGCAAGAGAAAAAGCATCCGCCTTTGTTTAGAGCAAATATAAAAGCTTCAGAAAACAGTGAGAAGTTTGGATGTTTTTAGGATAACAACAACCACATAGTAGCTGTTAGCGCTCACCACTCACCAATGAGTCCTTAGTAAACAAGAACCAGTTTGAGGTGGATTCAAATCTCAGCTGTTCCTGAATCCTGGAGCTGTTCATCCACAAAGACCCTCATGAAGGCACAGAGCCACAAGCTAGGAGACACATTACAACAGCAATGGGTAGACATACATTTCAAGTAGTTTCCTGACTACACAGCTGTGTAAAAAGTAACACCCTGAGCTGTGTCTAACTTTTAATCTGCCAAAAAGAAGCCAAAACTAAGTGTATCAGTTAAGGGCTGAATAAAGCTACAGTCAAGGTTTTCATAGACACTAGTATGAGATACATTTGGAGTTTGCTGCTAATGCAAAGCTGCTCAAAGCTCATAGGTGTCCCAGACTGACAGAATGAAACTAAGTATAATAGTCCTTTTGTGAGATAAACATAAGTAATACAGCAGAGACAGGCTGCCACTGGGCTGAAATACTGAGTGATAGACTAAAATATCAGATGCCCATTTTTCGAGGTATCAGCCAACCTTAACCATAAATCCTCAAAGAGGTTGCGTGTGTTTATTTTATCTGAGACAGACGACACCAAAAGTACCAAGAGTACTGTGTGGGATTAGGACGTGGGCATGTTGGCTTTCTTCTTCTTCTTCTTCTTCTTCTTATTATTATTATTATTCAAACCGCATATTAGAAAAAGAAATTCAAATTGAAAGTTGGAGGCAGTTTTATATGAATGGCATACTTCTTAAATCACCTGAAATATTCAAAACCTGTTCTTAAAATACATTTACTCTCAGAGTTTGGGCCCCAAGTGTGGGTGTATTGTCTCCTCATTCGACCGCTGTATTTGTGTGATGCGGATTAAGGCGTGTTGTTTATCTAATGTGTTTGTAATGACAAAGACGTCACGGTGAAGACGCAGCATGCAGACCCGGCGAGTCGGCGGCGTGGCTCAGGGGAGGGAAACGTCTGTCTGTGTCTGGATCTGAGCTGCAGAGCGCGCCCGCTCTGCTGCGTCCAAATGTCAGCAGCAACATTAAAGCTCAAGGCTGTTTAGGAGAACAAACACACTCGTCTGAGACGCGGAGAGAGGGAGTCATCACCTAGCCTCTAAATGTGTTGGTTTCACGCTGCAAAGGATGCTGGGAGCCAGGTCTCATTAGTGTCCTTTGCCTTGTTGACAACAGCCTGAAGGCGGCGATGCGTCCCAGTGTGTGTTCATGTGTGTGTGACTTTGTGTGTTTGTGTGAAGTGTCTGAGTGTGTTTGATTCTCATTCAGAGGGTGCTTAGCTCTTCCTGATCCCAGGGCCATGTTCTGTTCCTCTCTATCTTAATCATAAACAACATTTCCCATCCTGCCTCTCTGCATCTTTACAGCCCTTCCATTAGTCAAGCCATTGAAAGGGTAGTTGAGCAAGTTTTTATGTGCGATTGTACAAAGATGGAGAGCTGATGAACACAAAAGAAATCAAACAACCAAATGTGAACAGTTGAACAGAAAGATGGATAAGGTGAGACCAAAACTCAGTTAATGAGCACTTTTTCTATGACCGGACTCAATGTCAAACCACAAACCAAGTTATAAAATCTGAGTTTGAAGCAGATGACTAAGGTTGAGCATGAAGGCCTTTTTTAATTGACGTGTGTACCAGAAAACCTCTAAAGTGGCCTCTCCAGGTACTGCATCTTCCTGTGGTCCTGCAGTGGTTTCACTTTTCAACTCTTGAGGTTGGTGCTTGCATGCATTACAGCCCAGATATCAGGTAGATGTGCAGTAAGAAGGGCTCTCATTATCTTTTAAATCTGTGATACCTGCAAAGTTCTGCAGCTCTGCCTCAAACTGAACCTAATAGCAGCTCACATTACAGATTTACTCGACTTAACCCAAAACCGTGAAAAAATCTGCAATGGGCCGCTCTGATGCATAATTTACAACCACTACTACTCAACTACTACTACTATTACTCTATTGCTGCTGCTGTGTCCACAAGCTCGTCTTTTCCCTCCATATTAGCAGCTCAGCTCCATCAGTCAGCGTAACTCAAATATATGCAGAGGATGTTATAGCAGCGTTCGACTCCAACACAATAAGAGCTGATCGGCGCCCTGATTTAACCACCCTAAGATCTCCAGATTTCATCATGTTGTCATGGCCTGTTTAAGTGTGTGTGTGCATGTGTGTGTGTGCTGTAACAGAGAGCTGATGCAATGCAGTAAAACAAGGGAAAGTAAAGAAAGCGAGGAGCCGCTGAACTCTGCTGCTCACTTTCAGCTGCAGCCTGCCGGCGTCCTGCAAGCTGTGGAGGGAGGGGAGCAAAACACTCAGAAACATGAGTGTGTGTTTGAGCTGTGTGCATGGTGAAATAGCAAACACACACACACACACACATGCACACACACACTCAGCAAGTCTCTCTTTAATTATCTAGGAATGAAATGAAGTGTGATAGCTGGCTGTGAGGAGGAGCTGTGTGTTTGTGTGCATGTTTCTGGATGAGGTTGCATCTGTGTGCAATGAGCACCGGGGTTGTGTGTGTGTGTGTGTGTGTGTGTGTGTGTGTGTGTGTGTGTGTGTGTGTGTGTGTGTGTGTGTGTGTGTGTGTGTGTGTGTGTGCGTGTGTGTGTGTGTGTGTTGTTATTAGAGAGCAGGAGGGAGAGGTGGGTTATGGGGGAAACAGAAGGAGAGCCGAGCAGTAATTCCTCTTCTAATGAATTATTCATGTTCATTTGTGCGTGTGTGTGTGTGTGTGAATGTGCGTGAGTGAGTAAGTGCGTGTGTGTGTCTGTGTGTGTGTGTGTGTGTGTGTGTGTGTGTGTGTGTGTGTGTGTGTGTGTGGCTCTGGCTCCTATAAAACTACAACAATGGCAGTTTGTCGAGTCGGCAGCCCCTGCTATCTCTGTGCATTAAACCAAATAAAGACATTTTCAATGAGTTCACCGAAACCCACAACTACTCCTACCTTACATCAACCATTGATTTCCATTATCTTCTCAAAGCATTGTGGGTAAGAGCTCTCTCTTTGGACAGCTATACAAAGACAGTGCAGCAGCAGTGGTGAGGAGCTTTTTTCTCTCTATTAAGAATAAAAGAAGAGCAAAAGTTGCTTTCGTTCTTGAACCAAACGTCATTTTCAGGAGAAATGTCAAAGTGATAAGAACACGAGTCAATTTATCAGTCAACAAATCAAAAAAGTCACAGAGTATTAAATGTTCTGCCTCTGGTTTATATGTTTTAGGGTTAAACTGAACAACGGATCTGAACAGTTTGATCAGAGCATTGTTCAGAGTAGGTGCCCTGTGAAAGTACATCTTGTTTTTGTTGTGTATGATTCAGTTTGTTACTTTAATTGTGGATTGAAACTTACGCTTCTTTACTGCATGACAGCGCTAGCTCTCATCGTACTTATCTCAGTGCTTTAGCTCAGTCTTTCTGCATGAGTTTAACCATAATCATTACTTTATTAACATCAGAACATATTGTGTTTACTCACTTAATTCTTTCAAATAATTCACTCCATTCTTGTGTCATATATCATTTCTACTCCAGTGTCCAAACACACAAACCAACGCAAGAGGAGAGGGGTTCGTCATAGGAAAACATGGCTAGACATAAATTGTCAGTTGAGGAGCAAAGGAGAAGAAATAGAGAGTACCAATGAAAGAGAAGAGAAACATT